TTTGTCCCTTTTTATCAGACTTTTTGTCCCTTTTTATCAGACGTTTTTGTCCCTTTTTATCAGACTTTTTGTCCCTTTTTATCAGACATTTTTGTCCCTTTTTATCAGATTTATTTGTCCCTTTTTGTCCCATTTTATCAGACATTTTTGTCCCTTTTTATCAGACTTTTTGTCCTTTTTATCAGACTTTTTGTCCCTTTTTATCAGATTTATTTGTCCCTTTTTGTCCCATTTTATCAGATTTTTTTGTCCCTTTTATCAGATTTTTTGTGCTTATTGGAGGCACAAAAATAAGTAGCAATATAAACATTCCTTTAAACAATCCTTTAGGGCTTTAAGCCCGTTTGGGTTCGGTTCTGGTCCAGAAAGATGAGCTTTAACGGGTTTTCCTCCGTTCTTATTGACTAAAGTGACATTTGGATGAATTATTTCCCTCCTCAGACACATTAAAGCTGTTTTAAAGCCACGTGGCTTTAAAAGGAAGTCGGAAATCCTTCGTTTTTTGTTGAAATTCAACACACATGACACATTTTTCCGATTTTAATTTACAGCTTATATTTAATTAAGTGAGAAGGGATTATGGGAAAATCTCTCGGCAAAAGCTTATTCTTCATAATTTAATCTTTTCTTTTAAATTTTGCTGTACTGTGTTGTGTGTATTCTCCTTCAAACGCTTTAAGGAAGCTGCTTTATTTCCGGTTAGTGAGTAGAAACCACTCAGGTCCTTAATTGATGTAATCCACGCTATTAAAGACTTAGTTTTTAACTGTTGTTAAAATCAGGAATCACATCATTTTCCCCCTGAATCAATTCAATAGTCACTTTTCTCTAGTTCTGAATATTCATAAAAAAATGTGCTTTTAACCCTATAATGCCAAATATATCATATCTGATTCATAAGGTTTCTGAAATGTTTTGCGTCTGACTCCTTTTGCTTAATTTAATGGTAAAAACTTTGCTCAAAATCCTATTGTACACAATCATTATTATTACAGGGTTAAAAGGTCTTCAACAGGGGGTCCGCGGCCCCTATGGGGTCCTGGAGGTACTGATGGGGGTCGGAAAGTTTTGGTTGATTAAACTTTTTTTCCACTAATGTAAATGTGTTTAAATCCACATGAACATGAGTCCAACAGACTGTAGTAAACAGATAAATGGAGGCAGAATATCTATCTATCTATCTATCTATCTATCTATCTATCTATCTATCTATCTATCTATCTATCTATCTATCTATCTATCTATCTATCTATCTATCTATATCAACCTGTGGATTATCTGAGGATCTTAGTACTGAATGCCCAATAACAAGGCACATTTACACACTGTTTTCAGACCGTTTTTAGACTGTTTTCTGTCTCTTTCTGTTGTTTTTCTACAGTTTTTCTGGGTCTTTCTGGTGTTTTTCTGCTGTTTTCTGCCTTTTTCTGTATTATTGTATTGTGTATTCTGGATTATTCTGGATTATTTGAAGATCTTAGTACTGAATGACCAATAACAAGGCACATTTACACACTGTTTTTAGGACGTTTTTAGGCTGTTTTCTGCCTTTTTCTGTTGTTTTTCTACAGTTTTTCGGGGTCTTTCTGCCGTTTTTTCTTTTTTTTTCTTTTTTTTTCTATCTCTTTCTGCAGTTTTTCTGCAGTTTTCTGCCTTTCTCTGTATTATTGTATTGTGTATTCTGTATTATTTGAAGATCTTAGTACTGAATGCCCAATAACAATGCACATTTACAGGCTGTTTTTAGGCTGTTTTCTGCCTTTTTCTGTCTCTTTCTGTTGTTTTTCTACAGTTTTTCTGGGTCTTTCTGCTGTTTTCTGCCTTTTTCTGTATTTTTTCTGTTTTATTCTGGATTATTTGAAGATCTTAGTACTGAATACCCAATAACAAGGGACATTTACACACTGTTTTAAAGCCGTTTTTAGGCTGTTTTCTGCCTTTTTCTGTCTCTTTCTGTTGTTTTTCTACTTTTTTCTGCCTTTTTCTACCTCTTTCTGCTGTTTTTCTACAGTTTTCTGTCTTTTTCTGTATTATTGTATTGTGTATTCTGTTTTATTCTGGATTATCTGAGGATCTTACTACTGAACGCCCAATAACAAAGAACATTTACACACTATAGGACCAGTTTGATACAACACAATTACAATTTCAGACAATATATGTAATTAGGGGGCCCCCCTCCATCAGTTTGGGGTCCTTGAAGACCCCTCCCTAAAATGTCCTAAATGTCAGTGGATCATTAATTTATGTGATTTGGGCTGATTATGCAGACTCCCCACATCTGCATTTCTGTGTGTGTGTGTGTGTGTGTCTGTGTCTGTGTGTGTGTGTGTGTGTGTGTGTGTGTGTCTGTGTTTTTGGTTGTCTGTGTGTATGTGTGTCTGTATGTGTGTCTGTGTGTGTGTGTGTGTTTTTGTGTCTGTGTGTGTCTGTGTGCATGTGTTTGTGTGTTTTTGTGTATGTGTGTGTGTGTGAGTGTGTGTGTGTGTGTGTCTGTGTTTGTTTGTGTGTGTGTGTGTGTGTTTTTGTGTGTGTCTGTGTGTGTGTGTGTGTGCGTGT